CTTGGAGGTCCAGTTTAGATACTCATAGTAGTGGAAGTAAAGCCTCACAGAGTGTTACACCACTGTGAGGACCTTAGAGTCATTTTGGCCAGGATATGTCCTTCTATCATCAGACTTTTGACTCTGAACCACTTGTTCTCTTTCAAGGCAAAACAGGAAAAGATGAAATCTGATTTGCAGCAGAAAATTCACATAAGAGAGCTCAAGATGGCAGAAGTCAGATCATCGGAAATAGACTGCAAGGTAAGGATGTTTATTTATTTTTCATTTGTTTGGTTTCTTGCTTTGATGTTACTTTAACACATCCACTCTCTTTTCAGGGTACTCTGGATGCTGAATGGTTGGAAGTCAATCATTTCTTCTCAGAGGCTATCAGAGTTGTGGAAGATGCTCGAAAGAAAGCGCTTAAGCCTCTGGAGGATAGGTTAGTACTGTCAGTGGAGAGCAGCTGAACATTGCCAGTGTGCTGTTATAGAGCTGTACATTTTACTCTCTTATATACTGTTTAGGAGACAGAAAGTGAAAGGAGATGCTCAGGATATCATCCAGAAGCTGCAAAGAGAAATTGATGTGCTCAAAAAGGCCATTGCTGAAGCACCCAAAAACCCAGACTTGGAGGTGAGCTTTGAGGACCTGAAGTCCATCTTCTGGTCTTTTTAACATCTCAGCATAAAAGTGCATTTCTGCACTTTGGTAATTCTGTTTTGTTAAACTCATTAAATCTAATCTTGTCATACGCTGATGTTTACTGTGTGCAAACACAGGTTTCTCCACTAACAGGCCTGAATGAATCTACTGACTGGAAAAATGTACAAGTTGACACTTCACTCTTCTTTGGCACACTGAGAACTACGACTTCAGCCATGATGAAGCAAATTCACGACAAACTGGAAAAACTCTCATCCATCGGTGCGCCCATCATTTTGTTGTACTCATATTAAAATCTGTATTTTCTGATTTATTGCCACTTATTAAAATGTTTGTTTCCACAGAACTCAGGAGGATTACTAAATTTGCAGGTGTGTATTTCAAAATAAAAACCTTATTTAAATGAAAAAATGTGATTGTTTTGCATTTTGATGTTTAATACAGATACATACTGATGAACAGCAGTAGGCCTTGTAATGGAAAATTAATAAGCTTTAAAAGTTGTAAAATTTTTAAAATAAAAACCAAAGCTTTATAGAAATTTAGCAGGATTCTCTCAAATTCCAAAATAAAAAAAGCCTCCAGTTATTTATTAGCTCTTATTGTTTTTCAGAATTGAACTCGTCTTGTTAAGGTTTAGTTGGATGCAGTCAAAATTAATATGTAGATTTCCAAAATAAAATATAATTTTCTAATGTACTCTTTCAAAGTTATTTAAGAAACAAATGGCAAAGATAAGTTTTAACATGTTATTTCAGTTTTCTCCTATTTAAACACAAAGGCATAAAGTTTCTCCTCCTCAACTGTAACTGTGTCACTGTGGAAACAAATTGCCCCACAGTAATTTGTCTGCTTATATATTTCTAAAACTGCTCACTTAACTGCAATCACTCCCCCCCCCCTGAAAAAAGGGTCTATGGAAAAACATGAATAATTATTTTTAAGGATATGAACACGTTTAGCTCGGGCACATTTTATTACTCTCAAATTTTGTCACGTGAACAATATTTGACACCTCTAGGAGAGCAGCAAACTCAACAAAATTAATGCACTGTGATTCAGTAATGTAAGATTTCAGGAGTTATGTGAATAAAATATTGGAAAATTAGCACAGTTATTAGCTAAAAAATATTAATATATTGTTTATTTACCAATGAAAAAATTAAATAGTGAGTTAGCTAACATAAGTAAGTAGTGTTTACTTGTTATGATGACAAGACCTCAAGGGGTCAGCATGGCGAACACAATGCCCTGATGCTCTTTTGTTAGCCTAGCTGCTTGTTGATAGTGTGAAACCTCTCTTTATTGCTTTATCCGGAGGAAGATGTGAAAAAAAGTTGAGGGAACAGTTAATGTATCATGCATGCTCATATCTCATCTCCTTAAGATTTCATATACAAATATTATTTCTTACTGAGGACAAACCTGTTGTTACTAATGTTTCCATAGCAATACTTACCACCATGTTTGGGTTTAATCCTAAGCTTTGGCTGAAATGTTTAATAGGAAAAGTAAATAAAGTAAGGGGAGTCTTCTATTGTAGTTTATCCATTACTCTTGTGATGCTTCTACACTTCTACCCACCACACGGTTCTGTTTTTTTAATCACTTGTGTTCTTTTGACTGCAGTGGACGTGAAGCTGGACCCGGCGACCGCACACCAAAGCCTTGAAATTTCTGATAATGGGAAAAAAGTGAGAGATAGTGGAAAGATGTCGAAAGATCCTGATTCTCCACAGAGGTTTAATATGTTTGGAAGTATCCTGGGGCTCAACAGGCTGTCCTCTGGCAGGGCATACTGGGAGGTGGAGGTCAGCAAAAAGACCGGGTGGGATCTGGGTGTGGCGAGACGAGACGCAAACCGCAAGGGGAAACTCTCAATCAGTCCTGACAATGGTTACTGGGCTACTGTACATTATGAAGACCAGAAATATTCAGCCCTGACAACACCACCAGTGAGCCTTTCACCTAAAAGGAAACCTCAGAAAGTAGGGGTGTTTGTAGATTACGAGGAAGGTCTCGTGTCCTTTTACGATGTGACGTCTCAGTCTCACATCTACTCATTTACTGAGTGTTTGTTCGGTGGTGAGATCCTTCCATACTTCAGTCCACATCTGAAACAAAATGAGAAAAACAGCAATCCTCTGATTATCACTGCTGTGCAAAAGCAGTAGTAATCACAAGCACTGGATCTGGTGCAGTGAATGCATCACTGGTAAGCAATATATGTGTCCAGGTGTGCAGTAACAGTTTAATGTTTTTTCTGTGTGCAAACAGAGTTTTCTTAGATTTTCCAAGATTGTCCAAATTTCAACATTTTTCATTTTTCTACATTTTTTATTATAACATGCATAAAGATCACCTGACTCAGGTTTTTATGTACCATATTTTCTATTCAGTGTGCAGTAACAGTTTGCTCACCTGCCCATCGGGCATTTGATCGGTCAAATTTCAACATTTTTCTTATAACATGCATTAATGAAGATCCTCTGACTGAGGCATCAATTTTAGAGTTTTATTTTTTATGTACTATATTTTCTAACTTTTAACATTTGAAAAGTAAAAGTAAAAGTAAAAGGGTTATTCAGGACTCAGGATCTATGACACACGGGGAGCCAGGGATCAAACCACCAACCTTACCATTAGCAAATGGCCTGCTCTAGCAACTAAGCCACAGGGGCCCTGTTTTTGAAAGTTGACTTTAAAATATTAGCTTACATCATATGTCTTGACTGATGTCCTAAGAGTTGCAAGACTGGAATACTTGAAATCTCTGTGCCTGTGACATTTGGACTCTGCTGATTCTTTTCTGCTTTGTACAGCTGTAGTCCACTCCACCGCCATATAAACACATACAGCACCCCCTTCCCACAGCTCTAACTATAAATGCTGTTTGTTATAATTGTTGACCAAAGGATGGATTACAAGTCCTGCTTGTTTGTCGTGTTTTTGCTGATTGTCCATCACTTATTGTATCAACAAACTGTTTACTTACTTACTCTTTGTAGCTCTGTTTTACAGATCCTTTTTTGTAACTATTTCCTTCTGTTCAACCATTTGTTTCATTTTGTACTTTTTCTACTCAGACTTCTTATATTGTGGTGTTCAGGAATCGCTGTATGTCATTTAAAAGATGTGTGTCATATAATCTATGACATTAAATGGACAGAAATTAAAGAAACTATCATTTAGGAACTTTTTTTTTTCAAATATATTTGATAAGTAGATATCTTAAAATATAAATATAAAAATATAAATAGAACATAAAATATCAACTATTATTATTATTATCATTAATAATAATAATAATAATAATAATAATAATGAAATGACATCAAGACTGTCATTTCTTATTTGTCCACTAGATGCCACTAGTGAATTTGATGCACACATTCTTCATTGTTGTTTTGTGCTATGTAGAAGAGAGTCCTGGATAATGGATGGAAAGTTAAATTAAATATTTCATGTCCCCTTTGGAATACTCTCATGATGGTCAGTTTCAGTCAATCAATCAGTTTATTTATAAGCACATTTAACAACAACACAGGTCGACCAAAGTGCTGTACATAGTAAAAAGTAAAACAAATACACAGAGAAAGAACAAAACAAGGCTCATTAACAATTAAAAGCTAGGGAATAAAGATGCGTTTCTGGATGAGGTTTACAAATGCTGAGTTTTGGAGAGGTAATAATTTGAAGAAGCAGACTATTCCAGTTTAGGCGCAGCAATTGCAAAGTCCCGGTTTCGTCTGGGTTTTACTCTGCTGCTAGGAACAATCAGAAGCAACTTTTCAGTTGACCTAAGAGTTCTATTTGGAGTATTTTTAGTTTAAAAATCAAAGTGGTAGGAGGGTCCATTTCGAGACTTAAAAACAAGCAATGAACTCTTAAAATCAATTCTATAACATACTGGAAGCCAATGTGAATGAGAAACACTGGGGAAATATGGTTGTGTTTATGAGTGCCTGTAAAGTGTCAGGCTGCAGCATTCTGAACAAGATGGGAGAGCAGAGCCTGGCTGATACCAAAATAAAGACTCTGTGACTCTGTGGTCGCCTCAGCCATCTTTTACGGTGTGGTCTGCTGGGACGGCAGCCTCTCAGCTGTTGACAGGAAGAGACTGAACAGGCTGATCTGGAGGGCCAGCTCTGTTCTATGATGACCTCTGGACCCAGTGGAGGTGGTGAGTGACAGGAGAATGGTGGCTAAGCTGTCATCCCTGTTGGGGCTCAGTGCTGCAGGAGACTCTGACAGCACTGAGCAGCTCCTTCAGTGGCAGGCTGCGGCACCCACGATGTGGGATGGTGAGACTCCGCAGGTCTTTCCTACCCACTGCTGTCACACTCTACAACAAAGACTTCGCAGCTGACCAAACACACACATCTACACATGTGCAATAACACTAAGTGTAATTTTTTTTCTGACAACGTAGCATTTTATTCTGTTGTATATAGCATGTGTGACAGCCAGTGGGCTGTTTTCTTGTTGACTGTCTCTTTCAGTTATGTGGTTGGTGGAGCTGACCCAATTATGGATACAGCACACCTGAAAAGGCCAGTCCCAGTTATAAAGCTACCTTGAATGAACCTCTGTTTCTCTTTTTCTCTTCATCTGGGGCTCATTATGCTCCTTTGGTTATGTTCAGTTATGACTGTTGTATCATTTAACCTGTGCTTGAGTTTCTTTACTTTATTTCATTAAAATATCTTACAGCCTTTAAAAGCCTGTGTGTGGTCTCCCACTTACTTGTCACATCCTTTGAGCCGGGTTGTAACATATGATATTCTTTTTCATCTTATTCTATTCCATTGTTTTTCTTAATTTTTGCTACTGTAACTCTGCCCTGTCTACTTTCTGCTGTGACACAACAAATTTCTCACGTGTGGAACTAATAAAGGTTTATCTTATCTTTAACAAGAAACTGTAAAAAGGTTTCACAGGTAGCTGGAGACACTGTGTGTAAGTGTGGGGTAGGTGAAGGGTTGATAAAATAATTAATGGTGTTTAATAAGACACAGGACCTATAACAGTTATTTATTAAATCCAGCTTCACAGACAGAGTTACACCCTTGCCAGTTTTTGAGAGCAGGGCTCAATACGTGCAGCGTTTTATGTCCCCTTTAAACTCAGAGTAAGCCAAGGGCAAAACAACAAACAAAATCAAACTGAGCTCCAAGGAACACAAATAACCTCATAAAACAATAAATCAAAAACTGAGTCTGACCTTCCTAGATTACCCAAAGAGTGAGAATAAGATTATATATGATATATTTTATGTA